TAAATAAATAAATTTTTATCGCAACCAAACTAAAGATCTTTGCATATGAGTCATGTGTACCAAACTGTCTATAAAAAATAAAGTGGTGTGTGTCTGAATAAAGATCTTGTTAGATGCACAAAAAAATGCACATGACGAAGAAAGACAAAGTTCAGAATGTTAAATATGAATAAATAATATGAATAAATACAGAGATAGTAAAAGTAAAGAAAAAATGACATCGTAACACAATGAAATTATGTGTTTCGTCCGATTTGACCATTTATGTTTTTTTCATTTTTGTGCAATAGGTCATCTAACTTTTACTATACATGTTAATTAAATTATTATCGCTAGTTTTTAACCATTTCTCCGCTAACCAGTTACTCTAAATCATACGAATGTGCCCTATGGTTTAAATTTCTTTCGTAGTCGGTCTCTTACTATCACTGTTCATCACCGATACCACCGTTCATTTCCGACAGCCACCATTGTTCACCTTCGATAACCACCACAGTTCATCTCCGTCAAATCTTAATCGTCTCTCTTTCTCTCTCTCTAAAGATTTCAATTCCTTCTTTTTTTGTCACAGTTTACATAGAAAAAGATGAAAACCCAATCAAACATATCACTAAATTTAGCCATGGCTGGTAGAGCTCCGTCCCTAAACTTGTGGATACCTTCAGTACATAGTTCTTGTCTCCACCCTTTGCTAGATATTTAAGGTATCATGGCTTGGTCCACCATATGATTGTAGTGTTGGTATCAACTTATGTTTAAGTGCTCCATGGTGGGAATCTAAGGACCATTTGAAACCCGGTGTAGGCTCAAAGCCATCTTCGGATAACTTCAAAACAAGAAAACTCATCATCCATGAGTAAGCTTTTTAGGACTAGAGAGTGAGCACGGTTAGATGTGTAAAATTTCTCCTTTTTACGGTAACGATTACATATAGGCATTCTTCCAAACAGTTCGTGTGCATCTTAAGAAGTTCACCATGGAATCTTTGGTTTTAATTATTGTTGAAATCCAAATTAGAGACGAACTCGACAAATAGATGTAAGATTGAGTGAAATGAAAATATACACGTACACATGAAACATAGAAGAGAGAGAGACCAGAACTTGGCATCCCCTAATGATTGCAATGAAATGAGAAGTATCAATAATTACTTGAACACTTTGGAGAAGATGAATGGTTGGAGTAATTGGTGAAATTTGATTGACATGTTCTAAATTACTATCACCATTATCACCCATATTTTTTATTCTTTCTCCAATCGGTTCTAAAAAAGGACTACAAGAGACTGCCAATCTTAGGAACGTGGAACGTAGCAACTCTTAGGGTTCATATTCGAGGTAAAATAAGACCAGAGATCGAGAATTGGTATTGAAAACCTAGATAGAGCATGCATAATGGTATGTTCGTGTTTGTATTTCACATGGAGTAAGAAGTACTGAGATATACAAGTTTCACAAGCAACTCTAGGACCTCTAAATAGGTTTGATATGGTGGTCGGCGCTAAAAGCGAGCTACCAGTAGGTCGCCAGCCTTAGAAATACATACGCGACCTTCGGAGTTTTTTTGGTTTAAATTTATGATGGTTATGGTTTAATTGAATGAGAAGAAAAAGGAGAAACTCCAAGTGACATCTTCAACCTCCTCCTCTTAGCTCCCCATGACAACATTACCGGTATCATGGGGTTTATCAAAGGTGAACGATGGTGGCTGCAAGAAATGAATGTTGGTGTTGGTGTTGGTGATGAACAATGCTGGTAAGGTATCAACTACGAAAGAAATTTAAACCATAAGGTCATTCGTGTAATCTTGAATAACCGGTTAACGGAAGAATGTTTAAAAACTAATGATAATGACTTCATTGACATGTACAGTAAACGTTAGATGACATATTGCGCCAAAAAACATAAATTATCAAATCGAACCAAACACGTAAGTTCATTGTGCTACAATGACATTTTCGTTAAAAGTAAATATAAGAAGAGTAAATAGAGGAAGGGACAATGTACTCACTCATGTGTGAAGGGGAAAGGTCAATAAGTAAAACCATAAATAAATACAAAAAAATAGTAAAACGTATAGAAGTAAGCTGATATAAGGTACAATATGGGAGAAAAATAGCCACAAAGATAGACATAAAGCTAGAACCTAGATATGCAAAATATTACTCTAGTACCATGATTCTTAACCTCCATTTCCTCTCAAAGGTTATGTCATCGGTAATGACTAACAATATCAAGTCTAATATCATGCTATCTTCTCATTTTCTTCTCCGTCATTCTCTACTTCTCGATCCATTGATTGTAATTACTTCAACTCTTTTATTTAACATCTCTAATTTCTGAGTGACATTCATACAAAGATACTAGTTTCATGATATTTTTTTCTTGATATCAAAATATATTTTTAGGTTAGGTAGTTGACAACATATACTGAATGTGTCCATCAACATATAAATTTAAAAATAGAAATCCTACACAATTAAGTTGATAACAAATTGTGATGATAACTAAAATAAAATTGTGATAACAAATTGTGATGATAACTAAAATAATTACGAAAGGGTTTTTAACCCATCAGACACAACTTGATAACAAATTGTGATGATAACTAAAATAATTACGAAAGGGTTTTTAACCCACCGGTGTCTGATGTTGCCCTCCCTTTTTAAGGTTGAAGGTTCAAGTCCTACGGTGAACATATATGAAATAATGTAGAAGTAGTCATGGGTATATTTGTTTAAAAAATATATATATAAATAAATAAATAAATAAACTAAAATAAGTTAAATCGATGATGAAACCTTTATATTGGCACTAAACATTGGTCATATACTCTCTCCAAACCCCACACGCACATATGGTGTGTGCTTTGTGTATGTATTCTATACTTTTAAACTTGCAGTATTACTACCTTTATACAGAAGACTTGGCTCAACCTTGCATGCCCGAGGTGAGGGGTCAATCAGTGAAAAGCAAAGAAAGTTCATTGAAAAAGCTTAAAAGAAAGTTGATTTCACAAAGCAACTCTCTCTCTCTCTCTCTCTCTCTCTCTCTCTCTCTCTCTCTCTCTCTCTCTCTCTCTCTCTCTCTCATGAATAAAGCTGATGCAAACAACTAAGCCCATTTCTAGCTTCTGTACAGAACCGAACCATATTGATCGATTCGTAGCTTCATCTGTAAGATAAAGGACATAACCCACAAAAACCTACTATACACGACATGTTAGAAACCGACCACCTCCACCACCTTCACCACTACCATCACCTCACTCCTGCACCAGCTCCAACTTCATCAGATCATGCTCTTTCTTGCAAAAGAAAAAGACGTCCCGCCGGTACTCCAGGTACCCATATTAATTTCCTCACTTGTCACTTGTCATATTCATTTATGCTGAAGTACGTAGCTTTAAGAATCAATTTTTCTGAAGACAAAGTTATGATATTAATTTCATTACATTTTCAGATCCAGATGCTGAGGTTGTGTCGTTGTCTCCCAAAACTTTGCTGGAGTCAGACCGATACGTGTGTGAGATCTGTAACCAAGGCTTCCAACGGGACCAGAATCTTCAGATGCACCGCAGGCGACACAAAGTACCATGGAAGTTATTGAAGAGGGAGTCGCCGGAGGTAAAGAAAAGAGTTTTCGTGTGCCCGGAGCCTAGCTGCTTGCATCATGATCCTTGTCATGCTCTCGGTGACCTCGTAGGAATCAAGAAACACTTTCGCAGGAAACATAGTAACAATAAACAGTGGGTTTGTGAAAAGTGCTCAAAGGGTTATGCTGTTCAATCTGATTATAAAGCTCATCTTAAAACTTGTGGCACTAGAGGCCATTCTTGTGATTGTGGTCGAGTTTTTTCCAGGTTAGTATATATAGCCTATTTTAGTCATTTTTTATTTACTGATCTCATATTCTTTTGATTTTTTGGTGTCATCATGCATAGTTTTCAGAAACATGGGATAAGAAACCAAAATTCCTGAATGCTTCTTATCTTAAAATCCGCAACTTAACGAATTAATAAGGTCCGCCATAATAAGTTCTTGTACATTGAATATTTTTGGTTTCTAGCGACGTTTTTGTGGATGAAAATGTGTCTGTATCAAATATTATTGCAGTTTGACTACCTGCAATATACAATAACACTATATATGAACAAGTTCCGAGGATCTATCATCTCATCTTTTTGTCTATATATTATCTAAAACTTTATGATTAAGAGGAATTTATTCGATTCTTTTATTGAAACATCGGCTCTTTAGTAAAAGACATAGATCAAACGTTGGACCAGTTCAAATTTTGTTTGAATTTAATTAATAAACATTAATAGTCAACCGTAAAAGTCATAATCTAAAATATCCATCTGCTCCAATCCTTCTCTCGGTATTTTAGTATACTGTGTGCTTCATGGTAGACCTATATATCACCTACGTGACGAAGCTTAATTTGCTTCTTCCCTTGATTAAATCTTTGTGTTTTTCAAGAACAATTTTCGTTTATTTTATTTATATAATATTGGAGCTTTTAATGATCTCACTCATTTGTCTGTATAGAGTTGAGAGTTTCATCGAGCACCAAGATGCTTGTGTTGTCAGGCATGCTCACCCGGATTTGACAGTATTCCAGCGTATATGTTCGCCTAGCAACGCATCAAGCACTAGTCCCTCAAACGACGCAAATTTGAACATTTTAAGAGTAATGCCAAGAATGCAACAAATCCATTATCACCACAAACCTTCCCATTCACAACCTCAAGAAAAGAATATAGAACTTCAGCTCCTACCATCGTCGTCATTATTTGAACAGAAGAACAACCATCAAACCCATTTGAAGCTTTCAATTGGCAACGAAGTTAGCTTTCATACAGATGAAGAACAAAAGATGAACATGGCTATGACTGAAAAGGCATTTGCAGATGAGTCGAGGCAGCAAGCGAAGAGGCAGATTCAAATGGCGGAGTTGGAATTCGCGAATGCGAAGAGAATTAGGCAACAAGCTCAAGGAGAATTAGAGAGAGCTAAACGTCAGCAAGAACAAGTTGCAAAGAAAATCAACTTGACCATTTTAGAGGTCACTTGTCATTCTTGTAAGCAACGGTTCCAAGCTGCTAGTAAAGTTTCAACCACTATAGCTGATGATACCTCGTTTGGTTTGAGTTACATGTCTTCAGCAGTAACTGAAGGAGAAGGTGACTATTAGTTTTTCCAAGCAAATCTCTCTCTCTCTCTCTCTCTCTCTCTCTCTCTCTCTCTCTCTCTCTCTCTCTCTCTCTCTC